CAAACCATTAACCAACTTGAACAACTTGTAAAAGTTAAATCAAAAAAACCTAAATAAAAATAAAATATAAAATGATTAAGAACAAAAACAAAAACAAACCATGAGTACGACACCAAAATGGTGAAAGATCAGTTAAGTCTTGTCTTAATATTTTTTCAAGCCATAAAATTGAAACAGGTATAAGAAGAACAAATGAATCAACTATAGCTAATGCAATTGTTATTATAGATACTGATTGTCTTTTAAGATCTGTTAATATAAATACGCAAACAGTAAGAATATTTCCAATTAATCCAATACAAACAATGAATGGTGTTAATGCAAGATAAAATTTATGTGCTAGTGTATTATTAAGCAGTTCATGTTCCGTTAATGTACATAATGTTGTCATTGTAGTTTTATTGAATATAAGATTTTTCTTTTTTTTTTTTTTGTCTATAAATATATAAGAAATGCGTAAAATAATGCAAATTGATGTGTTCTTAGAAGACAAATGATGATGAGAAAATATCATTTAGTCCAGAAAAGCTTGATCGATTAATTCAAAAATAGTGACTGTCATCGCTATATTTAGTTTGCAACTAAAATACATTAACAAATCGTTAGAAACTCTTTCGGACACATATTTACAAAAGAAATAACGCGTTTAAATATCTATTTATTAAGATCATAGATGTTTTTATTCTATAAAATCATATAATACTAATAGAAGTATTCGTTTTTACACAATAAGAAATGAACATATATGTGAAGTTCTTTGATTATTTCTATTAGTCTAGATTTTGACTGCTAATTACCTTCTTGTGAGTACTCAATCGTGTTCATTTATGACAAGGAAATTTGCTGTCAAATCAAGTGTATTCTACTCTATAAATGGATAGAATATGTCTATAAAAAGCAAAAAAAAAAAGTATAGAATTCATGCTAAATCATTATTATTGTCTATAAGAAATATATATATATATATATAATACGAAATATGTATTTAATGACAATGATGAATATAAAACAATAAATAAAACGAAAATATTATCATAGAAAAACCTTAGTCTTAACACTTTTCTTGATTGAATTTTCTTTTTCTTCTCGTTCTTCTTCTTGTTTTTCATCTTGTTTCTTCATATAATATTGATCAAAAGATGTAAAAAAAAAACGAAGAAATATAGATGATCTATAACATCAATCTAGTTTGGATGTGAATTACACATATAAGAATATTTCTGTCAGAAGAAGTATATTGATAAGTATGAATTAGACACTCTACACACAAAAAAAGATAGTCGACAGTCAAGACTTAATGTTGTTTAACGTGGGTGTATCTATATGTGATAAGTGATCTAAAATTGATTATAAAAAGACAAGTGACAAGTAATGCATGAATTCCTGCTGTTTTGTCATTTAGAATCATGAATAAACATCAAGAGAAAAAATACAAGTCGAACGACATAACATATCGATACGATTGTTTTATCGTAAATCTTAATAGGAAAAAAGAAAACTCATCATGCATATAACAATCGATTATCAAAAGACATATGTTATTCTATGGTTTGTTTCATTATTCGATTGTCATTATTTTATCTTCTTTTTCTCAGTGGAAATTGCAAAAATTATTAACCTTATCCTCTGATTTTGTCTTACATATATTTGTCATCATTTTCAGTTGTAGCCAAAGAAAAAAAAACTCGCATCTAATTAGTATCATCATGCCAGAAGGAACGATATGATAGATAATCATGCAATCTGATAAAACAGCAAAACAATACATTATCGTAGATCGATGAGTTTCTCATTCTAATGAAAAATATTTCAATTTTTAGCCTTTTTTTTATTCTCAAAGAGTTTTCTATTAACAAGAAATATGATCATCAAAACGACATTTATGACAAATAATAAGTTGGCATTATATATATATAT